GTTGGCCGACTGATTTTTTTATTATCATTGCATTTTATAGACAGTTTTACGAGCTAACGAAAGTGGTTCTGCCAGAGAGCTTGTACAGATAATGCCCATGCCGATGCCGATGCCGACACACGGGCATTTCGGCTTTACGATCTCTCACACCGCGCTCGTTTTGCCTTAACTGCCAATGTGAATTGAGTGTATTGTAAATCACACTTGTCCCACACTTGGCAAAAATATCATTTCCCACTTCAACTCAGTCGACCATATCATGGAGACATCAAACCAAACTCAGACTACACTCATATCAATTTAGACAATATAAAATATTTATATAAAATATTTTCACTTAATATTCCATTAAAGTTCAGTTCTTACATTTTCTCTGTTATCTCCAATGTTTGAGTCCTGATATATCTTAAAAATTGTTGCCAGCTAAACTTTTAAACTTTTAAACTCAGCATTTCTTTGAGTGTAGTGCAACAGAAAGCAGAGATTGCCCCACATAACAGCCGGAATAGCCCCACATTGTGCGCTGGAATAGGCCCCCATTCGAGGCATATTGTATATGAGACCGATACAATGTACACTGCATATTAGCAGCTCTGTTAAATTGTTTTTTAGTTGCCGATGCGTCTGCAAATGGGGCATTGTCTGTGCTGAGGGAGGGCGTTCAAGTGGCTCGTGGGCTCTTCCGCTGCCTTGCCAAGTGCCTAATCTGTCGGATGGAGTCGGACAGAGTCTGGCCAGCAAGAAAGCGTTGTCGGTGTTTGCGAAAAGTGTTGGCCATCAATCTTGGGCGACGGCTGGCAAGCTCCAGCACTAGATAAAGTGCTGCGAGATCTATTTGGCCCCGGCTCGGATCATAAATAAGCCACAGTTCAAGGGTTAGCCAACTGCAGTGAAATTTCTAGTTGTGAAAGTTTCAGCTCACCTGCGCACTCATAAGTAAACTGATTTCCGGTCTTATTTCAGCTGCTACAGTTTGCTTATGGAATTTCACTATAATCAGCTTTTTACTCATATTTTACACATTTCTGCATTCCTTGTGAATATGTGAAAAGTGTTTTACAGCTCTTATCATGTTATGTCAATTCAGTCAAATGATTGTGCCCTTCAATTACTATCTGAGCTCTGTTTTAATTTCCATTTAACAGTCCCATCTTCACGTTAACTGCGTGCAGCCCCCCTGTAATCTGTGGCCTTATGCGGCTCTTTGGCCTGGCCGCATTCTAATTAAAATGCGCATTCAGAGTCGCATCAAGAGCACTTTGTTATCATCAGCGCCGTCAAAGGCGACTTTTCAAGTTAATTGCTGACTGAGCTCTGAATCTCTGGCTGTGTGAGTCTGTCGGCCCACACACACTCACTCACTGGCATGCAGGGGACACCCACAGACGCTGGCTCCTCAGACATGCGACACTTGACACGTTAGCGTTATAAAAATTAAAATAAATGAGAAAATGAAACTCATTACCTCGACTGCAATGGAAAAAGGCGACTGCAATAATTCAAATGAATTTTTCGCGAGTTGCTTCGATGGCCACTCAAGTCGAGTCGAGTCAAGTCAAGTCGACTCGACTCGACTCAAATTCAAAGCAGTCACATAATTTTCATTGGAACATCAATTGCAATTCCCATTTCCATTTCCATTTCCATGTCGATTTTCATTCCCATTTCCATTTCCACAGCCAGCTGTAATTAAGCAAATAAACTGAACAAACAACTCGAATTTGGATTCAAATTCGTTTTGTGCAATTGCCTGAAGCTCGTTTCAAGTGAATCGGGTTTGCAAATTTCTTTGCCATCAATGAGAATTGCCAATGGGTCATAAATTCTCAAAGAGTAGCACAACTGTCGCAAACAACCCAGCGACCGACCGACAGACCGAACGAGCAACCGAGCTACCGACCGACCTTCCGTTCATTATTTGAAACTTTTCATGTTGTTTGCATAATTTACAATTTATTATTTTGCGTTATTTATTGTACGTGCCGCAATTTATGCATAAAAATGCCGAACAAAACGCTCCATTAATCAGGGGCCGGCCACAGTCCATGTAGTATTCCCACAGACCCCAGCCGGCCTCGACCCACCAGCTTTGTTCCTCTCTCTCTCTTTGTCTCTGTATCCCTCTCTCTCTCTCTCTCGCTCTTTCTTTTCGAAGCATACTAATTAAGTTTAATGTAATGCACATATGCGATAAGTCGCCGACTTACTCGAGATTATATCGCATGAGTTCCTCTCTCCTCCAGCCAGCCCCTACATAATAAAGTATATATTACACACACACACACACACACACACACTTGTATATGTGCTGATGTATTTGGGTGCCTTGTCAGCCGGCCTCAGCCTCAGGCAGTGATTGATGTGACGGCGCACACACACACACACACAATTGAAGATCTATGCCATATTTGGCGAGCACAAAAAACGAGCTCAATCAAAGCCAAAGCCAAAGCCAAAAAAAATCTGATAAATTGTTGGCTAACCTACGAGCTGATGCTTAGTGGGAAAGCGTTACAAATTATAAAGTAAAATTACAGTTTTAGCAATTAAATAAGCTGAGCGTTGACTAACTATTTGCTATAAGCGTTGCGACTAAGCCTAAACAGTTTGGCCTCTGCTCGATTCCCATTCAGTCTCATTTGATATAAAAACTAATTAAATGAAATGACTCACGATATTTGGCAGTTTCCTATCAGTCCATCACACATTGTTGTCCACGTCCTGCCACATCCCTTGGCTGGCACGACTTTCGACGACCCTCATCATAATTTCAGCTCTTGGTTTATTATTATTCGCCTTGTTTTCAAAATACACAAACTGAAAACACAGAAAAACTGAAAAAGAGATGACGCCTCGGGCCCAGACAACTTTGTATGGGCGGACGCCATGTGCGCGGCGCTGCGCTACGCTGTGCTGCGTAATGCGATCAAATGTCAAGCTCCCAATTGAACAATTTTTGTTATTTTCTGTTGCGCTGCAAACTAATATTGAATGGGGTATATTGACTATATATATGTAGTTCCTAGCAATCTTAAAACTCCTTCTTAGTTCCGTATCGTCTTAAATGTTTTCAGCTTTGATTTCTATGAAATTTTAATGATTTTACCTTGAGCACCTTTCGCCCGATTATTGAATGATAGAGCAATTTCTCTACGTTTCGTTTATGACACTCAATGGGCATTAGAGTTTTATAAGTTTTTCACATAAATGATTCTGAAATTGGAGGTCGAATCAGCAATAATAATTTGAGAACTGCGAATGGCGCACAAGTCAATAATATATCAAGTTTCGATATACATACATACATATATACATAGTATATACCCTATGCATGCTCTTATTTATGGTGTATTTTTGCTCTTCTCTTGCGCTCGTTTTGTTGCTGTTCCTGTTTATATCCCTCGCGAGCCAAAAGCCAAACAAACGTGGGCGCAATCAACTGGGCCAAGAGCTGCGCTGAAGTATTTACGGCCAAATCGGACTTTTGGCCAAATGTTTGCACAAAAGTTTTCGCCAGTTGCAGGCAGAACAGAAAAAGTCGTTGCGAAATGCCGAACGTGGGGCGGGCAGCACAGAGAAGGGTCTATTTCAATTTAATTTAAAAACATTCTGGAAGCATTAGACATTGATGATTGCTTTTTCTCTGCTAGCTCGCTAGCCAGACTGCGCCTGCCAGTTCCGCCCCCTCCGCAGTGACTGAGCTGAATTTTATCTATTAAAATAAAGTCAGGCTCAGGGGCAGCAGCCGGGGTGGCCAATGGAATCGCTCTGAAGTCAACGGCAGCCCATGTCACACGGCCTGTTGCACAGCATTCATTAGTGGATGGAAGTCGACCAACCCATGCGACGACTTTGACATTTTTAAATAGATTTGCTTTTGCCTCCGCTCTGGCTGCGCGAGGGCCACGTCGGCGCAGGTGGCGACATTCGCACGCCTTCTAATTACAGCGACTCGGTCCCGTGTTGACCCCTTGGTCCCGTCCCGTCGCGTGACCCTCGACGACCCAGCACGTAACGTAGCCCACATTGATTGAGCCAATCAGTGTGTAATTTCTTATGCATTTACTCAGCAATAATTGCGTTTCATTTGAGGCGCTTGTAATTAAAAGTTGGCTCAACGTGTCGATTAACTTATCGAATAATCGACTGTCAGATTGGCATTCCTCGTGGCACTGGGTGCGGCCGTTGTCTACAAATTGCAAATTGATTTTTATCGATTTCTCATAATCAGAATTATTGCCATGGCGAATGCGAAGAGCTACGTCGACTACATCAACTACATGGAGTACATGGAGAACATGGAGTACATGGAGTACACAAAATATCAATCGTTGTCTTGTTTGCCTATTGCACGGGTTTCTTGTTTCTTGCTTCGTGTTTCTTGTTTCTTGTTTGGTTCGCCCCCTTCGCACAGCTCCGCCAACTCCCCACAATCTGAGACTCTAGCACCAGTCGCCGCTTCAGCAACGAGAATTGAAAGTTGATTTTACATTTTGATAAGCATCCGCAAATTACACGAGAGACCTGCCCCGCGACCATAGACTTTGATGTGTTGGCATACGCCTATAAATTTCGTGATTATCAGTATTTTTTATTTTATTAAATGCATTTGGTGGGGCCGCACCCCATCCCATGTCCATATATAATATCCGACACGCACGAAACGCCGCCAAGCCAGCCAATTTCAGAGATAGACCCGAGCTGTTATTTAAGGGGCGTTTTATGTGCGGCTTGCATGTGGGAATTTTCATTAGGAACTGTTATGAAACGCCATCGGCGATACACTCTACAGACAAAGAAACTCCATTAGACTAAGGAAACCTAATCTATATAAAACTACTTCGGCCGACTGACAGTCGACGCAAGCCTTATTAACGGAAGCGCATCATTTCCTACCACATTCGCCCTTTCTGGCCTAAGTAATTAGGCAGGCGGAAGAACGAAAAAGCTTTATTATTAATTTACCATATTCTAAAATGTTTGTATTTTCCTATTTACAGAAAATTCACCCTCCTGGCACGAATGTAACACACGCATCTAGTCTGAAAAATTCTCGCTTGAATATTGTTAAATAAAATGAAGCCAAGTTGGATGTAAACGTCAATCAACAAGAATGAAATACCTCACAAAGTAGAGAGAAATTGATGTCAAATGAGAAAGTATTTGAGATGATTTAAGAGCCGTCAATTATGCCAAAAGACATAATTCAAAGACCAAAGATATTAAGCAACTAGATAGATATAATAGATAGAAATAAAATAACAATTGTTGAGATTCTAGATAAAATAAAAGAAATCAAGCTAAGAGCAGTATATTTATGCATATTTATATGTTTATACCTACTATATGCTTATGAGAGTAAACGAGTATAAGGTGCTTGAATAAATGAAAGAGTTTATATGTATATGTTTTGTGGCAAATAAATAAAACAAAAACTTTAGAGCTGAATTTAAATAAACTAATTGCATTTTGAATAAATAATAATATTTCTTTTATTGTCATCGAATAACAAATATGAATGCGAGCCTGAGCATTAAAATATATTTTCCCATTGCAAACATTTCCTAATGACAAAAATTGTTAAAATTTGAGTGTCAATCGAGACTGTGAATTTATATGATAAAAATCAGATTGAGTTGAACTCCTGGGAAAGATATTTCCATACAGCATGGTGAATGATTTGTAATAGATATAAGGCTATCATTCTCTAAAGAATTTACTTAACGACCATATGCAGCCTGGGCTGAAATTTAAAGAGGCTTTTCTTAGCTCTTACGTGCGGTTGAGTTATTCCCTTAGGGTTCTTTGGCCCGATCAGAAGGAAGCTTTTTTTTTCGTGAGCTGCTTAACGAGCATTGTGTGCGGCAGTGCAACTGAGGAGCTAAACGAATGGTATCGGGCCAGGTCCTTTGTTTGGCCAGTGCCCTGGAGAGCTGGTATCGCTGGTATTGCTGGTATTGCTGGCTGGGCTAACGTCACGTACCCTCGCTATAAGTAGTTGATGCTTACTTCCTCTTGACTGCCTCGAGGTTCGAGTTTGGGTTCGGGTTCGGTTACGGGTTCGTGTTCGTGTTCGTTTCCGATTTCGGTGTTGGCCTTTTCATGTTCATATGTATGACATCCCTCGCATAGGACATAAGTCCCTTCTAATTGCTTGCGTAACCTGAAGCGCTGCGGGGCAACCTCTTCCGTTTGCAATTCACGTTCTTCCCGCCATGTCCACGGCTCCACTGAAAATGTTCATATTTCAAAAATCGTGCTCAATAAATATTTGCCATGTGTCGGAGCCAGTCGTGCGGGTCGCGGATGTTGTGGAGGGACTTTTGTGCGCAAATATTCGCATAAAAAACGTGCCCATTCGAAGACATTTGCTAAAGATTTTTAGTTCAATAAAAAAAAATTGAATTCAAGTGCGAAACAGGAATGGGAATCGATTCGAATCACATCCCTTCGTACTCTCTGTCTCTCTCTCTCATTCTCTCTCGCTCTCTCTGTCTGTTTCGCTGTATGGCAATTGTCATGGCAAAATGAATGCATGCCACTTACCGAGTGTGTCGCCATTCATTTGAGGAAACGCAACTTCAACTTCTCGAGGCGCCACGATGCATGATTGAGCATGATTGAGGGGTCTGCGGCTACAACAGCGACTGCGACTGCGACTGGGAATGGGAACGGCAGTGGCCTGGAAATTGCAAATGATGAGTGTTTCCAAGTTTACACACACTCACACACACACAGAGAGAGATATACATGTATGAATAAATATGAATTTACTCTGCGAATGCCCACATAAGCCCACTCATATGCGATTCACAGCTCGCCTCTGAATGGCTTCGTTTATTTTCAACACGTTACTCAAACAATGTTTTTGGTTTATTTAAATTTCTTTCTTATAACAACGGCAGCAACGGCAATAGCAAATACAAGGCAAGCCATGCAAATGCCAGCCCGCCCGTTGTATAAGCCAGAGCGTCCCGCCCCCGCTGGGTCCGTTGCCTCGGCCAACAGCCTTGCCCTCAGCTCGTCGCGTCGAGGAAGCCCGCGTTAAGTAAACATTTGAATTTTACATTAAAGGCGGGCGGTAAAACAACATAAAATAAAAGTAGGGGAACAAAACAGAAAATAAGAAGAAGAAAAACAAAAAAAATTCGCATTTTCTTATTTAAACAAAACGGCGGCACTGTGCACAACAAACAATTCGCAGTTGCCGTTGCCGTTGCAGTCGGGGCCACCAATGAGACAGCTAACCAGATAAAGTAAGGGAAGGCAGAGCTGGGGGGAGAGAAAGAGCCCGCACACACACACGCACACACACACAAATCAAGATACAAAAACGCAACTAAAGTTGGCGGCATTCAGCTCAAACTGTGTGCCAAATGCAAACAACAAACAAAAAATCAACGAGAAAAAATAATATATAAACAAGTAAGAACGTTGCAGTCAGGCGTTACCGACTGCGGAATACTCATTCACATCCCATTAACAATATAGTAGTTAAGTTTCGCTCTAATACTGTAGAATATACAGGTTTTTCCGATTTGCCACGCCCCAACTGGGCGTAGACACCTCATTTTTGGTCAGTTTTTAGAAAGAGATAACGGTACCCTAACTGCAAAGTTTGAATGCTTACCCTCAAAAAATGTGAAAATTACAGGGTATTTTTCGATATGCCACGCCCCTAAAGAGGCGTAAAAATTATTTTTGGGGAATCGATAGAGGAGGCTACCAGTAACTCAACTATCCAAATTTGAAGCTTCTAGCTATTATACTTTAGGAGATATAAACTTTTGCGGTTTGCCACGCCCCCTGTGAGCGGACATATATCCGACAAAACTTTTTGGTCTTGGGTGATCAGTCCGAGTATATATACAAAATTTGAGGTCTCTGCCATCAATAGTGTCCAAAATATAAGAGAATTTAAAAAATCACTATATCTTCAGGTCCGATTTGCCACGCCCCCAATGGGCGTAGACTTATAATTTATCTTAAGACTTTATAGAATCATACCATTAGCTGACGTGCAAAATTTCAGCATTCTAGGTTTACAACTTTAGGAGATACAGTTTTATCCGATTTGCCACGCCCCCAATGGGCGTAGATATATCCGCCATAGCTCGTGATCTTGGGTGGTCAACGCGGACCTACATACCAAATTTCAGCTTTCTAGCTCTTCAACAAACATGATTTCTGGTATATCGGAAAATGCATTTTCCGATTTGCCACGCCCCTAGTGGGCGGATCGGGAAAATTTTAACACTTTATAAATCGGAGATATACACGAGTATGTGTTCCAAATTTCAAGTCTCTAGCTTCAATAGCGCCGAAATAGATTGCGTTCATACGGACAGACGGACAGACGGACGGACAGCAAGACGGACATTGCACAAAACCAATATACTGATTCACTTTCGTGAATGAGTATAAAAAGTGAGGAAAAATAAAAATTCGGAAATTTAAAACTTTATTTTGCCTGGGCTTGTGGCAGTGCAAGCAGGAAGTTTAGAACAGAGCAAGAGGGAGAGAGAGAGAGAGAGTGAATATGATTTCACGCTCTGCTCTGCTCAGGTTCTGCCCTTTTCTTGTCTTGTCAAAACGGTTGACAAACGATAAGCGAAATGCTTTGAACATGGAAAATGAATTCGGGTAGGGAATGGGATTGGGAAAGACTACCGTTACGTCAGGGCGTTGCCAGACGCAGCTGATTTTGATTTGTATCTAATTGTATGCAAACAGTGCGTCAGACAGCGACGACGTCTATCCGAGAGATATTCAATAGAATTTGGTTGAATAACCGAATGTGCACACATGTTCAATATATATATAAGTCGATATATTTACATATATACAAACATATACATATACAATATATCTATGTGACATACAGTCACATATGCGGGCGATTTGCTCGATTTTTGGCATGAAGTTGATAGATTACTTATGAATGACTTTTGGGCCTTTGTGCAGCGAACCAGTTTCTGTGTAGTTTTTTGTTTCTTTGGGGTTGTTGTGACATGGTTGATGGAATGATAATTGGGAATAGTGTGGTATTAAATGCGAATATAATTATAATTGAATTTTAGAGTATGTGAAATAGAGCAAGCAGTTCAGCGTTCAATTAAACATCCGTAATACCCTGTAATTACACAAGCTAACTAAGCTGTAGCGCAAGACAGTCAATTATGGCATTTTTGCATTATTCAGCCGATAAATCGCTGTCGTAGTTTTCCCTGTAATCTGCGGCCCTGGGCACATGTAATTGGTGGGTCTCCCTAAAATCCAATCAACCTTTGGCTGGGATCGATGCAAACTAAAATGGGCTCATGAAAATTACAGAGTCCGCTCGTCATGCGGTCGTAATTAAATAGTCGAGTTGCTCGCTAGTCGCAGACACGTCACTCTGCCTTCGAAATGGAAATGCGAAGGGAAATGGAAGTGGAAATGGAAATGAAAGGGGATGTGGAAATTGAAGTCAAAGTCCGAGGAGCAGCCGGCGCGATTCTCAGGCACGGCTCAAGCAAGCTCAGAGCGTCGCCCCTCGCTCTAAGCTGAGTTATATATTTTTGTTTTTGACCCCTTTAGTCGAAGTGATTACGTGGCCTTTTTTAAAATGGGGCCGCAAAATACACAAGCCCCATGGCAATCGAGGTCATTAGGCAATTTAATATTTGAACAAATGTGATTATAATCGAATGGAAACAGACCTCAGAGCACTTGGTGCGGTCGGACGACTCTTGGGATTGGGATTGGGTTACGCACTCAAGTTAAAATGAATTTTTTATGACATTTGCACGAAATATTAAGGTGTAATGGGTATTTTAAGCCGCAAACATGGCAGCAGCTAAGCTGACAACGGTCATCCGTAACCGCAAAAGGTAAGGCGGAAGGCAGGCGAGGTAGCAAGGTAGCAAGGTGGAAAGGTAGGCAACGATAGGGGCCGAGCGTAGATATACAGACCTACAAGTGCGGCTTACCACCGTATTCGCTCAGTCGGTCTAAAAACAGCTGCTGCTTATGCTGTTGGTGCTGTTGGTGATGGACAGGAACAGCCTCGTAATGCCAGTTCATCAGAGGGAACCCAAGCATCCGAGTCGAAGTTGGACTAATCTTCAGCATGCCAAATAGCCAAGTCATGCCAGCAGGGCGAGCGGCCAAATGACAAGGCCTTGCGGTGTAGAATTCTCGATGCCAGGTACAGTGGTTAAGCAACAGCATTGAAGCAGTAAATTTATATTACATACATACATACATATATATATATATGCGCATATGCATGAAATATGATTACAAATATCTTTAGACGTTCTTAAGTCCAAGCAGAGCTTAAGTCTCATTTACAGGGCCATTACTTTCTAGTGCAATAAGACAAATCCAGCCAGAATTGTTGGCCTTAATCCACCTCAAGCACACACACACACACACACACAAATGTCATTAAAGGCCACACAAAA